CAGCCAGAGATTGAGCCGGGTTGCGAGTTCATGGACCTCCGAAACACTGGCCGGATTGTTGAGCAGTGCTCTGGCGACGAGGACCCCGTGATCGAGGAGGCCAAGGCAGATGGTGAGAACTGTGTTGCCTATGTCCGTATGAACAGGCAGATCTCCTGCGCGGACTTCTGCGAGGAGAGGGACTCCACATGCGTGATGGCCATTGACCAGCCAAATGGACAGCGGTGCGTATCCACCGTGGGCAGCCTGGGCGAGATTGACACCAACACAGTGAACTGTCAAACCAAGCAGTTCAGAGATCTTCAGTGCGTCTGCTCGAAACCGGGTAACCCGGCTCCAGGACCGACACCCGAAGAGGCCTGCGCCAACCTACCCGACGGCTTCTCTCTGAAGAATGCTGCAAACCTCTGCCGCAAAGTCGTGGACTTCCTGGCCGGCGTGGCTTACCCGGGCACTGCTACTTCTGGCGATGCTAAGGCCAAGGAGGACATCTTGCGCGCCTGCATCCTGGATGTGTGCTCCGCCGAGCCCGAGGACCGCGGCGAGATTGCGGACAACGTGAACGACCAGAATCCCAACGAGCCCCCAGTCGAGCCCACAACCACCACCACAACTACCACCACAACTACCACCACGACGACTACCACCACGACCACGACCACGACCACAACCACCACAACCACCACGACCACCACGACCACCACGACCCCGGCACTGGTTGGAGACGAGCTCTACGTGTTTGGCTTCGGCCCTTACCCTGGCTCCTCATCTCCCTACCAGCCACAGGGAGTGGTGGAAGTGGAGTCCCTCCCAGATGGCACCACTCGCCTTGCCTACAGCCTTACCGGCCTCGACCCCGCTTGCGACGGCCCGTGCACCGGTACCAACTGCTGTGGCATTCACATCCACGAAGGCAGGGCTGTGCTCTTCCCAGACCTCCCAAAGCTCATCACAATAGCCTTTTAACCCGATAAGTGTAAAGGTCTTAAACCCCAAACCCCGACCCTAAACCCTAATCACCCGAATCCCATTTTGGGTATTTGGGAGGCCTAGGTTGCCGAAGATCTTGAATTTGTCCACCTCGCTTCTAGATTCTAGAGCCTGTGGAGGCACCAGCTGCGAGGAACCTACGGGACCTCATTTCTGGGACAGCGTCCCTTGGGCCTGACTTGAGCAATAGTCTAAACTCCTTAAAGGGGGCCATATAGGGGTTTATATAGGGGAGCATTATGCTACCTACGGGGGATACTAAACATCCTGCATGACCCTGAGTACCGTATGACTTGGGAAGTATAGTACTACAGCATACTCCTATGTAGTTCCTTTTTTGGGTCATGGTTTTGGGCGTAAGGAATTATAATATACTACCCAAAAAGGAACTACATAGGAGGGTATGGGTAGTAAGGTCATGCAGGATTTTCAGTATCAACAGTAGCTCTAGAGCCGATCCGGCTTAATGACTAGCTGTATACGAGGGCCCTCCTTGTACCCATATATACGCGGGGATTCCCCGGAATTAGGGGTACCTTTTGGGGGCTTCCTATAATAAGGATTGTAGTATTTTGGGGTCTATATTGGGGTCCCCGTATTTTGGGAAACTAGCATATATATATATATATGGGTATATGGCCTCTAGTAGTAGGAATTTAGGATATCATATATATATATATGTACACACAGAGGGTAGCTTCCCTAAATAGGGGGACCGCAATATAGACCCCTAAACACTAAAACCCTTATTATGGGACCCCCAAACTCACTACCCCTAATTGTGGGAAACCCCACATATATAGAGAGAGAGAGAGAGGGTAGATCAAAGGACTGGGTTGATCATTATACAGTTGGGCCATATCCTGGCTCTGCAAGTAGGAACCCTAGAGGTTTAGGGCTTAGGGTTTTGTGAGTAGGGTTTAGGGCTTAGGGGTTTCCAGCCCAATTACTAGCGGCTAGGTCTCGTGGACCAGGAGTATGCATTTCTGACTGACGGCTGCTCAAACACAGAAGACAAACCAACCCCCAAAAAGGGTCCATGGATGTGGGAAGTCGGGTTCCCCGATATAATGAGCTTCAGCCACCTAAGAATAAGTATTCCCCCCCAATAAAGAATGGTACTATATTTGGGGATGTTTAGTATTGGGGCGCGCATATGTATATATATATATATATTATACATAGTGCGTTGAGTGCGGGATTCTTATAAAGGGGTGGTAATAATGAAGTACGCCGGCTACCACATACGATGACCCATTCGAGAGAGCTGAGGCCCCGCAGTCTTTTGTTACGACCTGCCTTTTCCCCCATTTTCCAGACCTTGGTTTCGAGATTGGTCCGCCCAAAACTCCGGGGCGGGTGGGGTTTGAAAGTAACCTCACGATAACCTGGACCCCAAAAGTATGTAAAATAATGGCCTTTATGGCTATTATTATGGGTTTAGGGCTATTATTTTACATACTTTTGGGGTTTAGGAATCTGGTTTTATTTGGGTTCAAGTGATTGCTCTGAAGCCAAAGAGTCGTTGAATTACGTCTTTGACAGGAGCTAACGTTTGATCAGTGTTTGTAGCAAGCCTCAGCTAGCTAGGATGTTGAGAACTGGTTGGAAAGTTTCAGCAGCTAAGGGCAGCATCCCGCAAGATCCTTGGCTATCAGTGAGATACGACTCCACCACGGACCCAGCAAACGTCCTTTCCGAGATTGTGGAGGCGGGCCTTTCCAACGAGGAGGTCTTGGGACGTGCAGTAGTGATCCACGATGTGACCGGTGCGCGCATCGCATGTGGCATCATTGAGCCCTCCACCACCACGGTCTTCGAGGAATTCCCTGGCTACAACGGGGATTTGCCTGTGACATCTGGTGGGGTGCAGGCGAGGTCATGTAAAGATGGTTGAAAGTTGTCAGCTGTCGCAATGGCATCTGCCAACGGTCACCACTCATAACATGTCATGCTGGTAATGAACTGATTCATGGCAGGTGCTGTCCGACGATGGCGACGGCACCCAGACGCTCAGCTGGATCTTCACTCAGGGCGTAGACCCGCGGTGCACCTCAGCCGGTCCGGCGGCCAACAGCTGCAGTGTCCAAATCTTTGATGGCACGAGCCCCGATGCACCCGGCAACCCTTACTGGAACCAGGGCGACATCCCCCAGAACCCTTGGCCGCAGGTGCGTTATGTGATCCAAGGTTCCCTCCCAACGGCAGTGAATGACGTCGAGGTGACGACCGGCCTTACCTCCGCGGACCTCGATGGTCGTGTTGTGGTGGTCTACGACTACGACGGCGTCCCGGTTGGCATCGCCATCATCGAGCTGCCAGAAGACGTCCCTGAGCCGGCGGAGGGTGATGAC